CCCATAGAGAAAAAATTACTTGTCCAGAGTCTCCCAACTAGAGTAAGCATCCAGTTTTGAACCCAGGTCTTTCTGACTTTGAGCTCAGCACTCTAGCCATGATGACATGTACTGCTCTCCAAATTTCTCCCCGGTTACTGAAGGCACAGGCTTTTTCAGCTATGCTTGAAATTGTTAGCCTGAAGGGAAAGGACCCACATGTACAAAAATATTTATAGCATCTCTTTTTGTGGTGGCAAAGAATTAGAAATTGAGGGGATGCCCATCAATTGGGGAATGGCTGAACAAGTTGGGGTATATGAATGTAATGAAATACTACCGTGCTAGAAGAAATGATGAGCAGGCAGACTTCAGAAAAACCTGGAAAGACACATATGGACTGATGCTGAGTGAAGTGAGCAGAACCAGGAGAACGTTGTACACAGTAATAGCCACGTTGTGTGAGGGCTAACGTTTATAGACTTAGCCCTGCTCAGCAATGCAAGGATCTAAGACATCTCCAAAGTCTCATGATGGAAAATGCTATCCACATCCAAAGAAAGAACTATGGAGTTTGAATGCAGATTGAAGCATACTATTTGCTCTTTTTTTTCTTCTGTTTTGTTTTGTTTCTTCTTTCTGGTGGTTCCTCCTATTGGTTCTAATTCTTCCTTACAACATCACTAATGTGAAAATATGTTTAATAGGAATGCATACATATAGCCCGTATCAGATCGCACACTGTCTTGGGGAGGGTGAGGAGAGGGAGGGGGAGAAAAATTTAAAACTCAAAAGCTTATGGAAGTGATTTTTGATAAATCAAAATAAATCAACAACAACAACAACAATAATAATAATAAAGAAATTGTCAGCCTGAGCAGTGGCTGACAGTTTTCTGGCCAGCATGGCCAACAGGGTACATGGTTTCAGCCAGGCTTTCTCATTCTCTGGTGCCTAATCTGAATGACTGACTGAACAGAAGTCTTCCCAAGCGCAAAGGAAGAATTTTCAGGATATGGGAATCTGTCTGACTTCTTGGTGGTTAGATCACTGATCTATTTCTCCTTCTCAGACTTCCAGAGGGGAAAGGGAAAGCATACCTACTATATTTGTTATCACCAGCACTTAGCACAGAGCCTTGAATGTAGAAGCAGTGAATGTTTGTTGAATTGAATGAGCACAGGTGCAGAGGAAGGAAAGCACAGGATATATCCAGGAAATGGTGAATAGTTAGTTTTGATTATGTTCGTGGGGAACCGTGGGAAATAAGGGTGGAAAGGAAGGTTAGGACACTGAGTGCCAGACTGAGGAATTTGTACATTCACATACTGACACAGGGACTAAAGGCTTTTTAGGTCAGGTCTGACGCATGGTTTGAAGGGGTGTGTGTGTGTGTGTGTGTGTGGTCACAGGGTGGTCATAGGGAAATGCCCCAGAATGACCACAGAAACTTTTTCTTCTTTCTCTCTTCCTTAAGAAAGTAGGAGACCACAGAACATAGTTCCTCAAAGCTCAAGTAGTAATAATGTCCATCAGCGCACGCACGCACATGCACGCACACGCACACACACACATACGCACACATTTAGATAGAAGAAGACATGATCAAGAGAAGCAAGGTGTCATGCCTGAGAAGTGTAAAGGGTGCTAAACTGGGCATCAAGAGACCTGAGTTCTAGTCCCAACTAAGCCCTTATGTAACCTCTGGCAGTTTGCTCCCCCTCTCTGATTCTGTTTCCATCGATGTAAAATGAAGGCCTTGGTCTCAATGATCTCCCTCCCTCCCAAGGTCTAACATCTCTTGTTCCTATGGACTATGACTTGCCTTGTCTTTGAGATCCACAGGTCAGCCTTGGGCCCCTTTCACCCTTATTTCCCCACAGGCTATCTTGCTTTTCCTTAGTATTCCCTGGACTTCCTGCCTTGGCATGTTCAGTCATCCAGATTCTTCATCCCTGATTTACAAAGGCCAGAGTGGAGAAGTGGGAGACTTGAATAGGAAAAGTCCCAAAGTGCCAGACTGTAGGGCCAGCATGGAAGGGAAGAAGAGCAAGAGCCCTTGGGTGATGGGACATTTATGTAATCACCAGCAATTAGCAGCCCTGTCTTCTCCTCTGAATGCTCCTTAATAGTTTCTATCCTGAAACACCAGACAGGGACAGGATAAGGAGATGAGGAATTATGTGAAGATTGTTACCTGCCATGGTGAGGGAGATGTTTAAAACCAAGAGACCCAGACTACTTTGTAGCATCATAAGGAGAGGGCAATCATGGGTGAGGACGCTGGAGAAGCCTCAAAGAGAGAGTGAGCCTGACTTGAGCAGTGTTTTGGGTGGTGATCACACTGACAGATACAACAGTAGGGAATTTCCTCCAGACCCTTTTGACTGGATGCATCCAGGCTGTCAAAAAGCATAGGCACCAAAACATATGGAAACCATTGCCTGAGAAGCAGAATGGATGGTAAACTTGTCAGGTGAGTTGGGGGGACCTCTCAGAGGTCTTCAGATTTCAGAGCTTATCTTGTGCACAGAGTTGGAGAGGTGCCACTCACAAAGGCTGTCGCTTTTTCTCTTATTTATAACTGTGATGCTGGGAGGATAATTTGTTGATAGCTTTTCTCTGCCAATGATGTCTTGGAGTATCTGCCCCCTTTGGCAAAAGTCAAATTGTAAACTATTAGGGCTTCAGACCACTGGCTGCTTGGAAGTTTTAAGACCATACCTTTTTAAATTTCAAATTTATATGATAAATGTATTCTACAACGTGTAAGCATGTTTGCCTTTTGTGTCAAAATGGGAAAGGACATAAGAATCTTAATGGGAAATGAGGACAAATGAGTCAATTATGATGAATTTGTGAAATGCGATATAATTTTACATTTTAAACCTTAGAAAGAAAATGAAACCTGGGCCAGGGAACTAGAAGGCCAAGGTCCAGATGAGCCCCTGGTAATCCAGTATAATGCAAGCTCTTTGAAGGCAGGAAGTGTATCTTTTTCATATTTGTATACCCTCTTCAATGGTGCTCACCTATTTTCTCCAGTGCCCATTCAAGGGGTGGTGGCATCAGAAGAAAACTTCCTATACTTGGCTGCATCATCAACACTAACACCTGTACGTGAGGCAATCTCCTTTACATGTTTACTGATGCTAAGGACAATTGAGCCATGTCAAATGCCTTACTACAATACCCTCAGAACTTCCAAGCTTTTCTATCTGCCCTATAACTACACTCTTTTATATGCTGTCTCCCCCAGTTAGACTGAGCTCTATGAGAGCAGGGGCTGTTTTTATCTATATTGGCAGCTTGGGTGGTACAGTGGATAAAGTTCTGAATCTGGAATCAGTACGAACTGAGTTCAAAACTTGCCTCGGACACTTACTGTGTGACCTTGGGTAAGGCATTTAACCTTCTGGCCTCAGTTTTCACATCTGTAAAAATAGGAATGAGAGCGTCTACCTCCCAGGGTTGTGGTGAGGATATAATGAGATATTTGTAAAGTGCTCGGCCAACCTTCAGGTGCTATACAAACGTCAGCCGTTATCACCTCTTGCGTTTAGCACATAATTAAGTGTTTAACAAATGCTCATTTTCTCCTTCATTTATATATGAATTTCAGGTTAAGCCCCAACTAGTAGGCCCACCTTCCCCTCGTGGTCCCAGCCACTATGTAGACTCGAGGGAGAATGCCTGTATTTCCTATGCCCTTGTAACGTCACTCCCACGCTCCAGAACCTAATACAGGGCCTTGAACTTATCTCGTACTCAAAAAACATTTGTCTGAAATCTGCAGCAGGATTATCACTAGGTGACAGCTGATAGAACAATATGTTGCAAGGACTGTGCTTAATCCCGTGGAATTTGCATGTTAGATTGACTGCTCTGTCAGAGAGGCAAGTTCTGCAAAAAACATTACCAACTGCTTCCCATCTGTCTCCTCCATGTAGGATGTGGGGCTGAAGCCTAAGGTTGTGTAGCCTAGCCCTGTAACTTGATCATTAGGGGCTATGGAACAAGCTCTAGGAACAATACAGAAAGCAGGAAGATGTTATGAAGAAAACCCAGCCAGGACATAACAAACTGCTGGGCCTGGTTCAGATTTCTTTTCAAATGCTTTTGTTGTTGTTCGTCCTTTGTTCTCGAAGAGGACTGTGACATCAGGGAGGTGATGCCATGAAATGCAAGTGAAGGGGATTTAAGTGAGGGAGGGCTGGGCAAAGTCACCAGCCTCACTTTCTCTGGGTCCAGTGGCCAGACATAGATCAGGAGATGGTCCCCTTCCAAACACCTAGAAGGGGAAGGAAACGCCATCCCCAAACCTGAAATCCAAATCTTTGTGGATGGTTACCCAGGAAGATGGATTAAGGGGATTTAAAGGAAGTAAGATTTTTGTCACACTTAGGAGAGACTTGGCCACAATAACGGAGAAAAGATAAGAGCCTGTCTGCAGAATCGAGGCATCCGTGGCATCTTAGGGGTGGTAGAGGAAAGAAGCAGAACTCAGTGTTCATACCAGAGATATATAAAAAACCAAAGTTGTAATTCTGGAGGACTGTAGCACGGACCGGCCCAGGGTGTGTAGATGTGAAGGGCCTTAGGTAAACATTGGTTCTGGCAATCACCCATCTACAGAAAGGCGGCAATGTGAGGAAAGCCTGGTTTGTCAAGAACTAGTGACTGGAATATTATTTCCACAGTGTTACAAATATGGGTATATACTACCACTTCAATTTTACACAGAGAATGGAGAGACTTTTGCATAGTGCTGGCCTCCTGATTCCCAGTCCAATCCTTCCAGGTCTAGACTGGCCAGCTGAGGTTTGTGTGTGTCCGTGATGTGCTGTACATGTGTATAAAAGCCAGTGGAACCAAAGTAAATGTCTGTTGGCTCCTAACATGTCTAGATGGGAGAGAGAGAATCCAAGAATACAGGGTAGTAAGACACAGATGGCTAACTTGCTGAATATACAAACCCACTGAAATGCCCCAAGCCACAAATCAGAACCACCACAGTTTGATCAGCATTGAAATAACTTTATTAGAAGGCTGTTCTAAGTGAAAACTTCCATGTTGTGTTCTTTAATTTTGCTTTTGGACAAATTCCAGTTATAACTAAAAAGACAGTAATTTTGCATTGATCTTTGCATCCTGTGTTTTTCCCATTAGGCCATACTGGTGGAATGAAAGTGTAATTGTCTAGTTAAATGATTTGCAACCACTATTTCAAGAAGGGGGAGAAAGGAAGCAGCAAGACCCAAGGCTCCAAAAAGCAGCTGGTCTCCGGGCTACAGGAAGTGGGGTATGTCAGTCTGAATGGAAAGGGGACAGGCCCATTTCACCCCTGGGGCAGACAAGCTGCAAAACCATTCCCACTTACCCATTCAGCCAACCAAGCCTTTCCTTACTAGAAGGCTCCCCCTTCCTCCACATGTACCTGAAGAGTCAGGTCATTATAGCCACTTGATTCAAAGAGAAATAATATTTTTGAAGAAATTCTTCCTGATTCTGGGAAATTATTTGGATTTTCATCTTGGAAATCCCTGAGATTTCTCCCTCCCCACTCTCCTTCTCTCCACATAAATTTTTGTGCCCATTAACCCCAATTGTCTATCATTCACACAACCTCATCCCTTCTTTAATCACATGCACTGCTCCAGGAGAGCAAGCCTAGACTTTGACCACCACTTTCCCCCACCGTGATCCTCTTTCTCTCATCCACAATCCTCAGGCTCCAGCCTAGAAGGAAACTTCTGATTGATCTTGTAGACCTAAGGCAGACAGCACAGGCTACACATGGAATAACGGGGAACCTTTCACGTGCTTATGGTCCTCCCCATAGCTTTCCTGCTGCTGCACAGTGCTAAGAAGGTGCAATCAACTACGAACATAAATAAGGATAAAAAAAACCAAAACACTAAATAGGACAGACTAATAATTAAACACATCTATAAAAATAGTTAGGACATAACTCTGTTCAAATAAATACAAAATAAATATGCTTTAAGCAGTATAATACATTGCTTCAGTGGAATGTGAGGCTGATCCCTTTCTGCCCCAATTAGGAGTTGGAAAAGAGTCCCAAAACAGACCTTAATGCAGTCAGAGAAATAATACCTCCACCACTTCCTCTTCCCACTCTGCGACAGAAGCAAAGGAAGAATTTGCACATCTATTTCTCTTTCTGATGAACTAAAACTTCTTAATCCAACTCCACCAGAATTTAAGGCCTTAAACTCTCATCAGGGAAGAGAATTAAACCAAGAAGTCTCCTTCCCAATCCCAAGCTAAAGACCGACTCCTACTCAGGGAGAGTGGCTTATGCTCTGAGTGGATGCTTGGCCCAGCCCTTGCCTGGAAGCCAGCTCAGGGCACCTCGGGGTGCCGAGTAGGGAGGAGAAACTGTTCAGTTCCAAGGACTGAACAATATTACTCATGAAGTCATGCGTTATGATGTGAGGCTATTAAGACAGATAAGGCATTGACTTTACCTACCCTTGCCATGCACACAAACATGCAGGGCACCAGTTCACTGTTTATTTAACTGTACTGTCTCATGGATGAGAGAGGTGCTGTGCTTATAGCAAATACACAAGTTAGTCATTGTCCTTCCTGCAGGAGCCAGGGCAGCTCTGTACATTGGAAAATGCTATTTGTAAAGTTCAAGGTTAAATCTTTTCTCACCATGGGAGTATACATGATAAACAGGTGTGACCTGGGAACACTGATTGTCCCACCACAGTGTGTTTTAAGAATTAAAACAGCAAATAGGAAGTGAGCAAAGACTGAAAAGGGAAAACCCTTAGCACATCAGAGGGTTAATTTAGATCCCCTGGAACAAATAGCTTGGTTGCTTAGCGCAAGATGGTGGAAGTAAGCCAGTTCCCAAGCCTCTGTTTTTTAGCAGGCATGGCAGGGAGCACTTCTCTCCTTACTTGAAAGCCCCAGGTCCTGTTCCCATCCCTAGGCCCCTGAGGAAGGCTTTGTAGGGAACAAATGGGGTTTTCTCAGGGGTCCACAATGAGATCTGGGACAACAAGACTGACATGTCAACCAAAGGCTCAGACCTCTTTTCCCCTGCCTCTTCTATGTCTCATACACATTCTGAGGTTTTCACAGCTTGGCTTAAGTCAGCTTAGTGTTGACACATTCACAGAATGAGATGGCTATACATCCTGGGACTTCGGCCCAAGATCCTTAAGTCTAACAGTCTGGAGCCAGCCTTCCCGTCACCGAGACTGCACCCCTAAGGTGATCTTCAGGTTCTCATATACCACATAACTGATGCTCACAGCTGGGATCACCTTCATGAAGTTGGGGGCCAAGCCTCTATACAGGCCAAATGCTCCTTCTGTCCGAAGGATCTGTTTGAAGAGGCTGCTCATGGTCACTTCTGGGGCTCCCTCAATTGAAGCTTGAATGAGAAGAAGTTATTGAAACGTCAGAGAGCTCTCACAGGCACCTCCCAAAGCCCTGTGGGCCCCCAGTAGCATTTCTTTGGGGACTGGCCTAGAAGTGTTCTTACCCTGGGCTTGCATCCGAGTCCTCACAAGAGCCAGAGGGTAACTGGCCAGTTGTCCACAAGTACTGGATATTGTACCACAAGCCAAGAGGACAAACACACCAGGATCTGCACTGTTGACTGCATACCGCTGTAACCAGGTATTTTTTAGTGTCTAGAAAGAAAAGAATGATGAATGAGTCAAGAAGCCACTCAACACCAGGGAAGAGATTATAGGAGAAGGGGATTCAAGACAAAACTAGAGATAAGTTGTTCTGAAATGAGTCATTAAGTGATCCAGATTCTTCTGGATTACTTTAGAGGGAAACAGATTTTAGTCCCTTTTTTTTATCCCTCCCTGGGGGTTACCAGAGCAACAGGCATTAAACTCGCCCCAGGGTTTAAAAAAGATCAGGGCACAAAATTAACTACTCTCCACCACAGCTGTGCAGTCAGTTACCTCATAGACAGCCAGGTCTATTCCTGCATAAGGAATAATTCCAAGCATATTTGGGATATAGCCTTTGTAGAAAGCCGTTATTCCCTCCTTGGACAGGATCTTCTTGGCACAATCCAACATGCCCGAATACTGCCCTGTCTTCCGCAGTGCCATCCTTGTCTTTAAGACCTAAAAACAGCAAAAGGGCACTGGTATCAGGAAAGCTCCCTCCTCAAACACCACCCCCCTATTTCAGAGACCAATAACCTGCCCCCATCTCCACACACATAACCAAGAACACTCCTTACCTCCATAGGGTAGATGCTACTCTGGGCAATAGCTCCTGCCAGAGAGCCTGCTACCAGCCTCTCATGAATCCTCAGTGTTTCTTGGTCACTCCCAACAAGACGCTTGATCTGGAAAAAGGAAGTCGGATGAAAAATGGATTGAGGGATTAAGAAGGTCTGCTCCCAACCCAACTCAAGCCTTCGTCCTAAAGATTCCTCATGATGAGTTTGGGTTAAATAGCCCATTTCTATTTGCTCCACTACAGTCACTTCCGTCTTACTGATGAGGAAGGAAGGGGCCTACAAGGCTCTACTCTGTGTTCTAGGTAGGTAGGTATAAAGCTGGGGAAATTCTCAGGTTGTTGGGTACTCGGGACACATTTGTCACTTGACTGTGCTTGAAACAAAGCAATCCTTACCTGCTCATAGGCCATAAATTTAATAGCTGATTCTGGGGCAATTTTTATGACATTAATGCCATTGCCACGCCACAGAGATTTGGCCCCTCCTTCTCGGATCATCTGTGTAAACCCTCCAACAATACACATGTTGTTGCTACGGGAAGCATGGACCTGGAGAAAGAAAAACTGGTCAACACCAACCGGACAGACCTTTCTCATCAGATAGATGACTTTTTTTTTCCAACAAAAGATCAAGAAAGGCAAGCCCTAAGGCAACAAGGACCGTGCCTTACTCATTTCTGAGAGCACCTAGTAAAGCACTTTGGACATGCACCTTCAATAAATGTCTGTTGTTGCTCAATGAACTTTCCCCCACTTTAATATTCTAAAGACCCAACAAGCACTTCTGTTTCAAAATAACAGACAGCAAGCTGATTTTTATTCATTAACAGACTTTCAAAGAAAAGGAACAGAGGGCAAGGGAAAAAAATAGAGAAAATGACGACTTTCTTGTGCCCACAGTGGACTCTAGCACACAAGGTGCTAGAAAACAAACAGAGAGGAAGAGGCTGGGGAGATGGAGAAGAGGAGAACAAGGGATCACTGTTACTACGGACACTAAGCAAAGTCCAACACACTGTCCTCTTGCAACCCAATTTTGCAATTCTGCCTCTGACATCAACTTAGATGATCTTTCTATGGCCCTGTCTACGTGGAGTTAGGGGCTCTGCCAAAAATACTGATGTTTCCAAGTGGCATCTGGGTCAGATGAAGATCTGCTCCTTTCCCAGCACCCTGCACAAAATGTGCTGAAGGAAAAAGACTCCTGATACACCCATTTGATCATCATACTCATGGGCTAAGTCCTGTAGCTCAAAGTGGCTCTTAAATGACTCAGATAAAATTAAATCAACTATGAGCCAAATCTCCCTTGGACCAGATGGAATGTTGTGTTTGTCTGAGGCAAGAGTTCCCTTCTCATCTGTTTCACTAGGCAATGAAACCATGGGATCAAAGCAGCAAGCTAACCATAGATGCAAGTGCAGGGATTTCCTAGACTTGCTTTTCTCTTCATACCTGCATGAGCACCTTCAGCCGGTCCAGGGGGGCTGTGCAGGTCCTGGAGACAGCCCCTGCTCCTCCCCCAGCTACGAGATGTCTCCACCACATCCCTGTCTGCCTTTCTTCCACTGTGAACTCGTCAGGGACTGTTAGGTTCTCTCCCACATCAAAGATCTGTAAGGACAGCCAACAAAAGACAAAACTGTGATCACTCACAAGCAGAGGCCTGAGAACTCTTTCAAGGATGTCACTGCCAAACCCTCTTGTTCTACGCCTCTAGTGGGGTCAAATCAAGAATTATTCAATAGCACCGAAGCATCTCTTCCTGGTATTTATGAGGACACAAGGCTAGTCTAGTCATTGAACAGGTTGATTTATTATGCTCGTTACTTGATTTGTGAGGTTAGACAACACCTTTTTCTTCTATCTAAATTTACATCCTTCCATTCAGCTCAGATGTAACAAGCATGAATGAAAGAACCTCTCTTAAGTGCTTAAATTTTCTGAAGATATACTCCAAATATCATAGAGAACCACAGGATTTTAGAGCTGAAAACTCATTTAGAAAAAAAACAACAGGGGCTAAGAATAATTATGAATATATCAGGCTGTTCCAGCCTAGGACTCCTAGATGGGTTACCTGACATTCCTATAACCCAGATAAAATGGCCAAAAGGTCCAGATCAAAGTGCAGTGGGGAGGAAAATTTCTGAAACTTGACATGTAACCAGATCACACTGGCAGAACATTATGCAACCCCTAAGCAAATATCATTGAAGCTCTAATGCGTGCATATCACTTTCTAGTCTTGGCAGGGTACACAGCAAGGCAGAGCCAGCTCTGAGCTGACTTCTAGAGCTGCAATCCCTGCACACCAGTCCATCTGCTCTTTTACCTTCTTCTCCACTGGAGAGTTCTACCTGCAACTTTTAAAAAAGTCACACTAGAGCAAGCAGAACGTACCCTGAGAATGGCAAGCATTTATCGAGGTAACCAGGTAAACTATGGATTGCTAAGACTAAGCTGAAAAAATAAAGATCAAGACCCAAGAGAGTTATTGACCATACTGTGGAATGCTTCCAGTACAGAATGATCTCAGGAACATTTTCAACTGGATGCAAAAGATGATAATCTCTCCATTCATTCCAGTCAATTGTCATAGTTCCATTTTTATCCATGCTGTAGGACAAAAAAAAAAGCAAATAAGAAATAGGTCTTCGTGTCAACGAGCTACATCTGTTAGTTATCTCTCTCTCTCTCTCTCTCTCTCTCTCTCTCTCTCTCTCTCTCTCACACACACACACACACACACACACACACACACACACACACACACACCACCCCCAGCAAACCCAAATACTGATAGCAATTACCATAAAGAAATGTCCTAAAAAGACCTATGGCTCTATATCCCAAATCTTACAGAAAGAGAACTGAATGAAAGAATTTTATACAGAACAGGTAGGGAAGGCAGTCACCAAGGTGACACAAATACTTACTAAGTGACAGGGCCCCAGAAATGGCCCGTTCGTATTCTGACAGACAAGAGTAGGAGGAGCAAAGGAGAGAGGAAAAAACAATACAAATAAGTGCTCATTAGCTGATGTTAGTGAGGCAAGCATACAGTAATAGATAACAATATAGAAAGCGTGGACAACCCGATAGCCTCCCCTCCAAAGCAGCAACCTCAGGAACCATGACCTGCTAATAGATTCTGGCTTACCAGCAACAACACAGGCTGTCCCCAAAGTCTCCATGTAGCACAGATACTTTTGGAGGAGCCTCTAGATATTCTCAAAATTGTTGTAGGCCCCAGATTCATGGGAGGAGGTTAGCAACAAAAGAACTATTAAGTCATAGGGCTGATTAGGATTAGTTCCAATTGCTTCCAGGTAAGGCAGCAACAAACCAAGACAGAAAAATCATGGCTTATACTAATAAATCTCTTCAGGAAAGGACATTTCTATCATTACTAATAAAAAACAATAACAATCCTAACCATGACTAGAGTTAACATTCCAATTCTTTGGGAAGAAATTTAACTTAAATCTTTTCTGTTGCAATTTAAAACCATTCCCTCTTATAGTGTCAAAACACTACTTATCACTACATTGTCAACCACCTCTCATGTGACCAAGCAATCTCCTTCCACAACTAGTCTTCCCTCCTTTGTGTGCTGGTCAAACAATTCACTAGTAATAGGCAGGATCACTCTAGGTCAGGGGTGGGGAACATATAAAATGTGGATTCAGTCAAAAGGCCGCACTTAAGGACCTAGAAGGACACATGGGCCTTAAGGCAACAGGTTCCCTACACCTGCTCTAGGTTATTGAGGATTTCTCCCAACAGTGTAGTACAATGAAAAAAGTGCAGGACTTGGGGTTATTATTACCTACGTGACTATGGATGGGCAAGTCCCCTAAGCTCTCTGGGCCTGTTTCCTCATGTGTAAAATGAGAGGGTTGGGTTAGGTATCCAGGAAGGGCCCTTCTGGCTCTAACTCTACGGTCCCATGAACAATAACCCTTGCCTAAACAAGGCGATTGCTTCTAAGATAGGCTTATTTATTCACTCTTTCCAATCACGATAAGTCAAAGTGCAGATGAACAGAGACTGGGTGGTAGGAAAGGCACTACAGTCAGAACACATGAGGACAGCAACAGGGAGGGTTAATGTCCGAATGAGTCTTTTGTTCTTTTTGTCACACATGTGGTAAGCCGAATTCAGGGGCCGGTTAACTACTTACCTCTTAAGGATTTTTTCAGCCTGCTGTTCAGAAATCTTGACCCCCAGATCCCGCAGGGACTGCATGATCTCCTGAGCATCGATGCGCCCTGCAATAATAAAAGCCAACGAGCTAAGAACATATGTCCAGAAAACCAAACTGGGTAGGCAGGCAGAGAAGCATACCAGGTGGAAATTGTGCCAACAACCTGGTCAGCAATTGTATTTATTAACTAGGCCAATATAACGAACCTAAGCCTTACCATCATTCTTTTTGTCCAAGCTCTTAAAGACAAGTCTCAGTTTCTTCTCATGGTCTTGAAGATAATGAACAAATTCCTCAAAGTCCAGCTGCCCATCCAGGTCCTTATCTCCAGCTTTTACAATTTTCTGAGGAGGGGGAAGAGAGGGAGAAAAAGTATGGTTTTGTTCCTTAGGTAGACTATACCTCCATACCCCCCACCTCCTGTGCCCCCACTCCCCATACAATACCCATCAGTGCAAAATGCTGTGCCAAGTAGAGCACTTGGGCTACCCGGACATCACAGGGAAGTCTGTTTGTTCCTTTTTCAAGGCACTGCTTCATTCAGTCTATGGAATTCTGTTAGCTTCTCAAAGCTAATACTTAAGATGAAAAACATAAGCCACCAAGTTCAAGTCAACCTCTCCCAAATCCACTGTCTAAATGTAGCCTGTGTTCCTCACAGGCAAAGAAAAAAGAGAACAGACTATTGGAAAGAAACTTAAGACACGGCACCAAGGAAAAGTACAGGGTTCTTTGAAGTGACCTGAAGGCCAATTTATTGTACAACCAGTATTAGCCAGTTAGCTACCTGACGGCTATGTACTTTTATACTGACCCTAGTACAGCTCCTAGGAGGAAAGAAACTCTCATAGAGACAAGTCCACAGAGCAATGGGAGGTTTAGACTTGGACCTTGAGATTACACAGTTAAGTAAATTTAAATGTCTCAAGGGAAAGGAACTTTGCTTCTCTCTTTAAGCCAACCTTAGAAACAGAATTAGCCCCAAAAGAACCTAGTCTGGTTCCCCATTCCCAATTTCCCCTCACCCCCCCCAAAACTGAGGAATAAAAAATTCTGCTGGATCTTGGCAATTCTTGCTTGACAGAAACACTGCCCAATCTTAGGAGGCCAAGGGGAGTGTTCCTGGGCATGTGTTGAATGGTACTGCCAGTACCTAATCTCAGGCAAGAATGATGTGCATAATATCAGGTCTCTCAACTGGGTATTTAAAAGCCTAATGCTCTTCCATGGGAACCGTACTTGGTAATATCTAATTGATGCCTATAACAACCTTTGAAACGTTAGAACCTCAGATTGCTTTACAGAGAACTTTTCAATAGCCATATGTTTCAAGTGCTTCTGCAAGCTTCACTACTTACTCCCTTTTTTTGAGAGTGACTTGGTTTCTTTATCTTTAGAGAAAGAATAACCCCTGGCCCTCCCCTCCCTATTCCAGAAGGACACCTGTCCTAAATTGTTACAAATGGATCTAGCTCATCTAAAACTATCACAATGAGGTTTGACAGGACAGGATGAGCAACAAGCAAATGTTTATTCTCATTCATTCACTCAGTATACAAACATTTCTTATAAACGCTGCTGCTTGAAGATACTGTCAGACAAATTCCTAATGATATATCAGCAGTTCACTTAACCAATTACTAAGCATATCAGTTGCCCTGGCTAGATTATATATTAGAGGAGAAAGAACACTTATACGTGCTAAGTAAGGAATTCCAAATGCCTTCGGCTTACTCTGAAGTTAAGTTATCTGTACTCAGCAGTTGCATTAAACATTTCACAGAGATTCCAATGTGGAAGGATGATCACAGAGGAATCTGTGGCACCTCCTGAACTGCTGCTCTGGCCTTGAGACATACTTCTTGGAGCCAAGAATCACTAAAATAGATAGATAGATAGATAGATAGATAGATAGATAGATAGATAGACAGACAGACAGACAGATAAATGGTTGTGGGAACAACACTAACTGGCAAATCAGTACCAGGACTAGGTTTTTAAAGTTGAGGTTTGAAGCTAGTCAGCCTATTAGCTGACCTATTCTAGAACAGTCAATTCTTAATTTCTCTCTGGCAGCCAATCTAAAGCTCAACAAGCGCATAGACAATTAAAGGTGCAGAAAGGACTTCCTGCTGATGAAGACACTTCCTAGAAACTCTTCCAAAAAAATAAATGCAGCTGAGCTGGGATGGCAAAGAGATGCCATTACATACTTCAGCTGTTATCTGCGCGTCTATACTCGAGGACAATCATACACTCAGCCCAGAGTGACGCACTGCATCTAGGGTTACCGCACTGGATTTATAGCAGAGGCCTGATGGCATGTAGATTCCGTCAAGGGTAGTGGCAAACCTCATCCACAGAACTTTTCACTGCCTGGACTACGGCCTCCCATGCAGTGCTAGAATAGGCTATTCCCTTAAGTTGACAATTGTGATTCAGACCATTCCTCATTGCTCATTTCAAAATGCTCCCAAACAGCTCTGCTTCTCTGCTTTAAATAATGAGATGCAGTACCTGCACACTTCCAGTTTCCTAAGGTGTAGAATTGACGGATTTGAGTCTTTCAAGTCCAGGCTCTGCCATTTCTTAGCTATAGTCATTTTACTTCTCTGGGCCTCGGTTTCCTCATCTGTAATACGAGGATAAAAATCCAACCTAAACTTTGGGCTTTGTTGAGAGGAAAGTACTTCTTCATAAGCCATAAAGCACACTATGGGAATGGGAGTTCTCTGTTATCACCTCCATCAGAGTAGAAAGCATTTCATGTTTGGATCTCAGCAAGAAAATCTGGTAGTAAATCCAGGTGGCAAACATTTGGTGCAAAGGCAATCATCCAAGGTGCTCCCGCAAGCTTCACCACTTAGTCACTTTTTTTGAGAGTGGCTTGGTTTCTTTATCTTTAGAGAAAAAATAACACCTGGCCCTCCCCTCCCTATTCCAGAAGGACGCCTGTACTAAATCATTACAAATGGATCTAGCTCAACTAAATCTATCACAATGAGGTATGACAGGACAGGATGAGTTAACAAACAAATGTTTACTCTCACTCATTCACTCAGTAAACAAGCATTTGTTTCATATAAATACTGTTGCTTCAAGATACTGACAGACAAGTTCCTAATGACATATTAGCAGTTCACTTAACCAACTACCAAGCATATCAGTTGCCCTGGCTAGATTACATATTAGAGAAGAAAGAAAACTTATACGTGCTAAGTAAGGAAAAACATCCTTGATGCAAGATTCAACAAAAAGTTAAATCAACTATAAGCAGGATCATATAAACCATTAACACGCTATACAATATAACTGATATCATATTACTTGCCTTATTGGTGGGGGGGGAGGTAGAGGGAGGGAAGGAGAGAATTTAGAACTCAAAATTTAAAAAGAAAAAAGTGCTAAAAATAGATAAATAATACCTTTTTAAAAAAAGAAAAAGTAATATTTTACAATAAGCCTTCAAACTAACCTTTCAGGCTTTTGGTTCCTGTAAATAATTATAAAAGACCAAGATTTTTTGCAATTATGTTGCTATTACCAGACCTCTTCCTAACTTCCTCAATTTAAAGGAAATCACTTGGAACACAATAATTTATTTTCTAGGATTAATTTATATGAAAGGTTGGTTTCCCCGAAATTCCTGCCTGCCTAGTTAAGTCACGTGGAAATTAGTCACTCTGATGACAAAGAACAGAAACTGGCTGCTGGCTCAACCCAACTGAAAAAAAAAGTCTCATATTTTATACATTCTTTCATTTAAACAAACTGTATCCCTTACATTCGTATTATATCTACCTTTTCTTTCTCACCTCAAAAGTTATTCCCCTCTCCCAACACTTAACTTCCGCCCTTCACTTCCAAAATTGATGATGCATACACACCTGCTTCCATTGTCGGTAGGTAGAAAATTCCTGAGAAGGGATAAAGACACTAAGTTTGAAGATGGATTTAAGTTCTGCAGGAAGCCCCTTGGATTCAAAGTACTGAAACTCAGTTTGGGCCTCCCCAATCAGCGGCACATAGAGGCACAGGCAGAGCATTCTGATAATGAGCCTGGGTGCTCAGCCACTGAAGGAGCAAACAGCTTAACAATCCTCCAAGAGAAGTTTCAGCGAGAAGAATGGAAATGCCGGTGCCGGTCTGGTGAGCTCACGCTCGAGCTATCTCTGCTCAGCTGTCATTGGCTGTTCAAACCCTGCCCTTTTACTTAATTGATAAAGTCCACAGTAAATCCTTTCCAAGCAGCCAATGAAAGATAACTTGATGACAAGAGCACCCTTCCAAAGATTGCTCAACGTCTAGATTTGTACAGGGTTAAGTTTTTCGTCACTTACTTCCTCAGCATTAACTCTTTCTCATCCAAAGCACTGATGTGATCTATTAAAGAAAACCTTTGTTAACCCTAGGTCCCAAGTCCCCAAAATGAACAAACAGCTTCAGTTTCTTACTCTTCACCTACTTCCCCAGTATTAACTCTTTCTCATCCAAAGCACTGATGTGATCTATTCTCTTTTATTTAAGTAAATCTTTTTTTTACCTAGTCCCCAAGATGAACAGCCTACCTAGATCACTGGGGTTAAATGGGATTAAGTGACTTGCCCAGGGTCACACAGCTAGTAAGAGTCAAGTGTTTGGTCTGAGGCTGGTCAGGTCCTCCTGACTTCAGGGCTGGTGCTTTATCTACTGTGCCACCTAGCTGCCCCCTATTTTTTTTTAATACAATGTTCTTACAAAAAACCCACCATCACATTATGCTTCATAGGCCAGTGGATTTTTTCCTTCTGATAAACAGTTCCCAGTATAGTTAATGGAGAAGGCTAGGTGACATTTATCATTAATTGAATGAATTTAATTCATTGCATAAAAGTAGAATTTAAGGAAAAGTTTGAACTTATTCTAAAAAATCTGAACTTATCTTAGAAAATTCACATTATTACATATTTTAGTCTCATGGTAGAATATCTCATGCTTAGAATAGAGAAAGAACACTTAGAGGGTTGCTAGAGACTTACCCTGCCCCAGTCACCCTAAGCATTCATTCGTGGAGAATTCAGGCAGGCTCCTGGTCCAAAGAAACCCTGCAAAGGACTAAGTTTCAGTCCCTACAGAACTTCAAATTTCTTCCAGGACTACCCCTAGAAACCCACAACCTGAGTTCACAAATAACTCAACCCTTAAAAAGTTACCTGGGGGTCCCAAGCACTTTAAACACACAAATGGTTTTTGTGATGATGAGATATGGGGGGTGCCAGTTTGCTATCTCCCCAGAATCATCTAAGCCAGCTGTGACCTAAAAATATGACACAGAGTTCTAGGCTCCAAGCCTGTATTAGCAGCA